CTGGACCGATAAAGATGGAACCGTCTTCTGCTTGCATGAGAGAGCCGATCTTGTCGAAGGTCATAGTAGAGAACTTGGCCATGATGGCTGCAGTGCTGGTCAGAATATTGAGACGAAACTGTTCTCGCGCCGATTCATCCATTGAATCTTTGAACCAGACACTAGATACGGTCTCTCCAGTAACAAAGCTCATGCAGATGAAAGGTGCACCAATCTCGTTGTTGTTGGTTGGGTCCCAGCTGTACACTTCGGGCACAGGCGCTCCAGTCTGTTCTTTGATGAAGCGCATTGTTGCGACTTGCGATGAAAGGGCATCCTCTGCTGCCTTTGTCATTCCATCACCCCAGCCTGTGGCGGGAATTCGAATAACTAGCTTGACGGTTTCCAGCTGCACAATGTGGACAATGTTGTAAGACCCGGAAACCGTGTTAAGAAGCTCTGCCTTGCCTGGGAGAACAGGAAGCACACCTTTGGCGACTCTAGTGGCCAGAGCGAGGATGGAATCCTCGCTAATGTCAACGAGAGGACCGAAAACATCACGATCAAGCTCTGAGCCGTCGTCAGAGTCGTCATCCGAGCTATCGTCTGAGCTATCGTCTGAACCAGCTTCTGAACCAGCTTCTGAGCCTTCATCTGAATCGATTTCCACGAGGTCGTCTGAATTGATTTCTGAATCAGTGTCTGTCCACTCATCCGAGTGGTAATCCTGTGCGGTCGACATATTGGCGAAGTGGGAGGGATTGAGAATTGCAGTGTTGTTGATTGACAATGTAAATGTGGGATCACTAGAGCCCAATGAGTTGATTGTTGTTGTTGTTGGCATGATGTTTTGAATCTTGGGCCGTAGAGTTAGGTATTTATAGATCAAAGGCCATCGAATCTCTTCACAACATGTGCCGGCTTGGAACAAACGACAAACAGCTGTTCATTGGTCGACACATGTGATATTTAGAACACTTTCTTTGTTCAACATCTTTAGCTCGAACATGGATGGACTCGAGTCACATTCACTAGCACAGACCCTGAACGAATGTTTGCCTCTGAGAGTTTGCAGTTAGCCTTGGCAAAGGGCGGATAAGTTGAATGGCGTTTTGAACCAACAGCCACCAGTCTAATAAAGGGATATGCAAGTCGCCGATAATTGCGGATTCTACCAAGCTTTACGTATCACTGCATTGCAGCAGATTGATTGAATATAGGAACCTTGAAAGAGAAACAGGCATATCAATGCTGTTCCAATGCAGGTCTCCGTGTCAGAGAGCAGGGAGCATGCATAACAATTGCAAACACAAGCTTCTAGAAGAATGAACTGAAAGTTCTATTTCTCTGAACAGCCTGATATCATTAACTGTTCGTCTTTCTTTGAGAGGAGCCGGGAAATAGCGAGCCTAAAATGCAGTGTTGGAACAATGTGAGGTACCTAGGTAAGACAATGAGGTTTACGGCAACTACGTATTGGAATCACAATTCCCCATGATACTTCACTCAACTAACGTGCTTATATGGTGTTTCCTTAGGGTCTCTAGGTCAATCATAATAGTAGAGATAGCAAGGTTGAGACTCAGATGGAGCTCCCCAGGCCAGTGACTCTCTAGAAAATGACTAGGTTACTTTCTCCTAATCTTTACAGAAGCTTTCTTACCAATGATATATTCTATCTCACTTAGTTAATGTATCAGCTTCTTCACGAACTGAACTTGAGTTTCGTTGATGTGACCTCTTCTCTATGAATCCGAACAGAGACCAACAACAATTTATCTCTCATATTCTTCTCTAACATCGGAACTGAGTTTCTTATAGGCTTAGGAGCTGTCTCTAGAGGCTTTGGAGCATTATCGCAGAGCTAGGGTTAGAGCTTTAGTTTACTGAATTTAGAACTCGACATATTACCTCAAGATGACCACATAAAATTAACAGTGAATCACGACCGGTGGCACAGTAAGGTACGCTTCTAGAATAAAGCTTGCATCTTTCTGAAATATAACTAAGAGCTTCTCTTTTAATCATACTCTTGGCTCCTATTTCCCCTGATGCCCCTTTTCAGGGGCAACTGCACCTTTGAGTGCACGAGATTACCTGGCAGCTGGCAGCTGTTGTTCTTGGCACTGTCAACAGATGCAAGCACTGCCTGACCTTGCCTTGCCTTCGCCCTTTTCTTTGAGTCCAGTTTTACAGCCTTAGGTAGCTCTTTCCTCCTGTAATGGAAGCGGCATCACGTGGGGCTCGTAGACGACACGAGAAGGCACGGATGCCTCAGATCTGAGCACTCAACCCACTTACTTTCTCAAAGCTGCACAGCTTCATTGCAGCTTCCCTTTGCTTTCACCATCCGCAACAGTCTTCTTACCTTATGTATCACCATGGATCACAAATGGTTCCGCGATTCAACTGCAGAAGATGCATTCCGTCTTGAAGACGGTGAAGTTCACCCTCTACGCGCAAATGATCTTCACAGCAGAAGATACTTTGAGTTGCTTAATATCCGTCGGAGGCTCCCAGCCTCAGCGAAACGACAAGAGTTTCTAGATCTGTATCATCAACACCAGGTAGCTGTACTCTTCACCTCAAGGAGCATTGCACTAACTTCCAAGGTGATTGTCGTGTCTGGCGAAACGGGCTCGGGCAAAACTACGCAGATACCCCAGTTCATTTTATTCGATGAACTTGGTTCATCGAAACCTATCGCTTGCACACAGCCCCATCGGCCATCTGCTATTTCAGGTGCAGAGAAGGTCGCCTCTGAGCTAGATGTCAGAGTGGGTGAAGAGGTGGGATATCAGGTTCGCTTCGACAAGCGGATTTCCCGAGTCAAAACACGCTTGAGCTACATGACCGACGGAATGCTTGTGCAGTTGGTTCAAGGCAACGGTTCTTTCGGCAAATTCGTAAGTGTTGTATCCAACGCCTTTCACCATTTTCTAACATGCCCCTAAAGAGTTGTGTCATTGTTGATGAGGCCCACGAGCGCACCATCCCCACTGACCTACTTCTGGCACAATTGAAGCGCGCCTTACCACTCTTGCCAGATCTTAAAGTAGTCATCATGTCTGCCACCCCGGACGTAGATATTTTCCTGGACTACTTCGGTCAAGGCAACCATCTCCCTCTATCCGGTCGAGACCACCCAGTCGAGATCCGTTATCTACAAGAAGCAACCCCTGATTACGCTAGTCTAGCTCTTCATACTGCTCAACACATCCATCAGACTACTGGCGATGGTGATATTCTTGTCTTTATGCCGTCTACTGCCGAGATCGAAGATGCTTGTGGACAGTTGCGATCCGCAACCTGGGGTCTTGAAGTGTTGCCCCTTTATTCTCAGTTGCCCAAAGCAGAACAGGAAAGAGTCCTCATACGATCGTCCCGTCGTCGGTGCATCATCTCTACCAATATTGCGGAGGCCAATTTGACGGTTGATGGTGTTGTCTACATCGTTGGTATGTTAGCTATTGCCAGGTCATTGTTTAATTTCTGACTGGAAAAACTTACCATGATATCCAGACACTGGGCTTTGTATTGAGTCGCGTTTTAATCCCCGCATCGGCCTCAGGACAATTTTTACCGGGCCTATCTCTAGAACAGCAGCAGAGCAGCGAGCCAGTCGCGCTGGTCGAAATCAGCCAGGTGTATGCTATCGCATTTACACGAAGGAGCACTACGATGAGATTCTTCTTCCGACAACGCCCGCTTCCATTCACACAAGTGACCTTTCTCGCTTGGTTCTACAGATCAAGGCTATGGGATTCGATGATGTGGCCAATTTTGATTTTATTGACAAGCCTGATCCCGAGGTTTTCTTTCGCGCTCTCGAAGATCTTCTTGCTATGTATGTCTTCCGTTTTCATTGTCTCGTTCTTTCTGGTACTAACTAAGAATAGGGGATATCTTGACGATACTGGAACTATCACTCCCAAGGGCCAGATGGCTTCAAAACTTCCGGTCCACCCGGTATGGTTCAACGCTCTTGAAAAGGCTCATGAACTCGGCTGCAGTAGTGACATGATAACCATCGCCGCCATTCGAAGCACACGGCATCCTATCTTTGTCCGTGGTCAAGGCCTCTATTCCACTGCAGGTCAGGCACATCGATTCGCCTGTTTCACTTCTGATCACATCACACAGCTCAACGCAGTGGACGCATATATGAAGAAGGAAGACGAGGCCGAGGATCTTAGACATGAGGGAGTTTACGTCGACATATCGGAGTGGTGCTCAGGCAACTCTCTCAGTGTGCGTGCTCTCGAAGAATTCAAGCGTATTCGCATGAAGCTGAGGAAGTCATTTGCCGATCTATTCAAGGATCAGCCCAAGCGATTCACGCTCGAGACCTCTGAATGTGATGACAATCTCCGCCAAGCGCTTGCTTGGGCCTTCAGTCATCGTGTGGCTTTCAGCGACGTGGGCAGTGGGAACGACCGCTACAGAGTTCTTCATCACAACTGGCAAGCTGGTTTATCCCCTGAAAGCAACCTTTTGGGACTCAACCACAGATGGGTCATTTTTGACTCCTTCATCATGACCAACTGTCAGTTCCTGGAGACAGTCACAGCTATCGAGCCCGAGTGGCTCCGGGGATGTGAGAACTTTCGGGAGGAGAGCTGGGCGTTGAAACGTGCTGGCAAGACTGGCCCGTACAAAATGCCGCTGGCGAAGGGATCATTTGAAGAAGCTTGTGGGCTAGGTACTAACAGACAAACGGATTGGTGGTAATCTACACGTTGAGCAGCTTTGTTGCGCTAGTCATTTGTTCACATGTATGTATGTCAAGAAACAGCTATGAGTCGGCCAGATGATCGATTATTTTCACCCTAACACCGCTACTTGATCCATTGCCTATTTCTTCATACTTGTCTTACCTCAGGCTACTGCCAAATAATCCTTCATGTGCCATTATAAGCTCACCATCTTGTTGACAAGATTGTTTCATGTACAGATCTCAGCATCTGACAAAATAACACTCGCTCAACCTTGGTTGACATCAATGTGTCTCGGTTCCTCCTTTAGTTCTGGCCATTTTTGAGCTTCTGCCACAAGTTGGGTTTCTTGAGATTTCTTCGAGATTCAATCTTGGTCGAATCTGTTCGTACAATATGAAGGCAGCCGGTCAACTCGGAAATGAAGGTCATGTGGGGAGAGTTCGATTGCTGAAACCTCTGAGCTCGCACCATCGACTTTTGAACCTAAATGATACATGAGCCGGTGATCTTCTTAAAACTCAGGATGAATTGCTTGTCCTTACCTTGCGGCCAAGTAACTGCCACTCATAGACGCGATCAAAGTCACCCCAACCAAGTCCAACTCCTGGGGGGCGCTTGAATACAACAATGTGGCTTCGGCACGTTGCCGAAAGGACATTATTACCCATATCAGCCGGTCTGATAAAGCCTTCGGCATGAGAAATTGTAGCTCTCTGTTGGGGGTCTGGCCCAAGGAGGCGGCCCGGTTGCCAATAGAGCTCGGGGAGTGACTCGGTCATTTCTATGTCCATACTTCCATCCTGTGAGTCCTGTTTCTCAGGCCTTGAAAGAGCTACTGCCCCATCTGGAGGGGTCTGTCCTTGGTTGACCGTGATTGCCAGTCCCGATATCTTGATCCCTTTGGCGAAGATGTTCGCAGTGTTAAGGAAGGGTTTGTCTGCGTTCCAGACATCCTGCAATTTTGGGATGTGACGGTGATCCAGATGCTCCGTCTTCTTTGGCGGGTAGGAGTCCGGGTACTGCACTCCGTAGTTAGCACTCTGCCTAAAGGGGGCCGCTGGCCGTCGGTTGTTTGCGGAGGGGTAAAAGCCAGGATGCTCGGCCGGCCGGTGGTAGTTGTGCAACGAGTGGCCTGGGTATTTCAGCTGGCTGTAATCCTGAAAGAAAGTGTGAGGATTGAAGGCTTGAAATCCGTTCGGGAATGGAAATGGGTTCTCTCGTCGAAATGGATTATCATAGATTTCAGGGCGGTCCTGAAAGGACGATGGCCCGTCTTGGAATCGAGCGCGTTTCTTCGGATGATGTTAGTCAGGCCACTTGGATCATTCGCACGCTACATCTTCAGGATGCATCTAGTGAGGAGAGACTCACAGAGTTGGTGGCTACATGCCCAGTTTTGAGCATTCTTCCGCAGAAAATAGCGCCGTTGAGGTTGTTGATCGCATGGCTAGCGTGGTCATGATGATGGAAGCGAGCCCAACACCATCCGCCATGAGACCTTTCTCCAGCTTCAGGCCAGTAAAGTGTGCATGATATACCATGGCCTTGAAGAAATTGTTCAAAGTCGGCTGGGCTGGCATCGTAATGAACGTTCCCAATGTAGATGACAAGGCCCTGGTATTTTTCATATTCTTCCACGTCACGAGGACGCTTGCGTCTAGGCATGTCGGTCAGAATCAGTGCCGATGAGGATATTCTCAGAAAAGAGAGGTGATGTTGTTTCGACTAAAAGAGAGTCATCTCTGCACGTGGTTTATGTCTAAGAGAGAGTGAGAGAGAGAGAGAGAGAGAGCGTGTGTGTTGAGGGGATGATGAAGGCGGAAGGAGGGGGTGCTCTTTCCTTCTTGAACATCAGACGAATTTATGCCTGCCTTCCACCTACCACCGAGGCAACACTGCCTACCAGAGGCGGTGCTATAGGGATGTAGGCACTGAAGGAAGGATTTCTAATTGTTCTGTTTGACCTGAGATGCCCCTATATTCAAGATGGATGCTTACAGTAGGCAATTTGGGTATCAAAGGCTGCAGGCTGCATGTAACAATCAGAAAGATGATGCAAAGCCTCAGACAACTTGAGTAACTCACAGTTTATCCTCTACGCATTGTTTTGTGTTCTATACTTCACTAAGTCTCGCTTTATGGCTCCTGACTGTGATCTTGTAGCTGATCGCTGCTGTTGCCGATCAAGTGACGTCGGATACGATGCATGACTAACAACGCGACCACCTCAATCCGCATCAACAACTTGACCTTTTCCAACACAGCGCTATTTACTTTCCAATATTTCAACTCAATATGACAACCAGAAATCTCAACAAAAACCTGGAGAGACGTCTTATTCGAGCAATATCAAGCCGATCTCGTTCGGCAGATTCCCCCTTTCCAATCCGTTACCTCATCTTTGTCTACCAATGGAAGAAGGATATCTTCATCAGCATCCCCAACAAGATCGACATAGTGACCTTTCGCCACTCTGTCTTTGACTTTGCGCGCTCTAGAAATAGAGAAGAAGATCCGACTTTTAGCAATGAGCATATTTCAGTGTGGCCGCGGAAGACCTTTCGCGAACGTCGGGAAGAAGAGGCTGCAAAACAGAGCAATGAGACGAATGAGTCTGGGTTTTTGGGGTAAGACAGAGCTACATGTTGTTGTTAAAGTCAATTAGCTCTATGATACTTCATTTGCACCCCAGTTCTGTGGCTCTCGAGTAATCAAATAAACGCTGGATTAGACTAAGCGCTGTGCTATCCCAGCGCCTTCTCTTGACGCTGGAACTCAGTTGGGATTCCACCATCCAAAGCCCGCTGACTGCACATCCTCCATTATTGTGTCCTGATGTACTGTGTATCCATGATCCAAAGTCGTATCTTTTAGTCAATAGTCATCCTAGTGAATGGCCAATTGTGCTCAATGTGCACAACAATGTCCATCCATCCCCTCTCACGAAACTCGGACTCGATGCCATCAATAATCTCATCCCACTTGGTCTCGTCGGAATCTTCAAGGCATCCAATGAACACGGTGATCGGGTTCTCCTCGGGCTTGGAGAATCCTCTTCTGGTGAGGGTGAGAGTGCTTAGAAAGTTGCGTGTTGCGGAAGAGGAGTCGAGATGGCGCTTGGCAATAGCTCGAATGTCGTCCCATGGTACCTCTTCTTCCTCCACCACGCCGATGTACACCGTCTCGTACTTTTGCGGTGCTATCATCTCAACGTGAAGGCCTCTCTCGATTGCGCTTCGGAAGTGTTTCTTCATGGCATCCACGATTTGTTCGACCGCTTGCGCCCACTTTGTCTTGCTGTCTTGCTTCCATGATGATTTGATCAAGACAGTTGGGTTCATTCGGCGTACAACCAGTTCGATTTCAGTCTCTGGCCCTAGGATGTTGTTCTTTCGGAGGATCCTCTCAACTCGGTCGAAGATTTGGCCTTGTCGATCCTGGATACTGGTTGGTAGTTGCGTTCGTGAATTGTCTAGGGGCAGTCGGGGAAGGGAAGGCCAGGCGGCGCGATATCTGATGCATATAACGGGCTGTTCAGTGTCCATCGTGATGGGCGGGTGAATTCTGGGGGCGGGGTAGTCCATTGAGTGATAAGGATGTGTGATGAGGAAAGGAAATTGATCAGGGAGAAGACTTCGTGCTCTTTATATGCCCAAGCCCAGTCTAAATTGGCAAGATCACAGTTCACGTAGGTAGCTTCCTCTTCAGTGAGGCACGAAACTTAAACAAAACGCTTCTTGACGCCAATGCCCTAACCTTAACATCCATAATCTATGTTACACGTGCCCAGTTACTGCTGTCCATTATCCTTCAACATTTTTCACTCGGTAGCATATTCGTGCCGGTTCGCAAACTGCCCAGAACGCACTCATCCTTGGCCTAGAGATCGGAATTAAGTGCAGACATATGAGACTCTCATTGCTGTCCCTGTTTCCCCTTGTCCACGCTTGTGCTTGTGCTTGTGTTTGCACTCTGAGGCGCCATTGGGATTCTTTGGCGCTGAAGATTAGGCCCACTGACGGGGTTCTACTCTGGTCGTGGTCTCTTTGCTCCATGCGGGTTGCCCCAATCGCCGCCGCCCTGGTTCTGGTTGAAACCGAAGCCGGGGTTGAAGTTGGGAGGCATTCCTTGGAAACCTATATATGTTAGCTTTGCACTCAAAAGGCCTCGTTTCTCTAATAATAAGGATCACTTACCAGGCATACCGTTAGGTCCCATCATGCCCATGCCCATATTTCCAGGCATCCCCATGGGCATTCCACCCATGTTCCCGCCCATGTTCCCACCCATAGGGTTCATACCCATCATGCCTCCTCGACCACCTCGCATACCACCAGGGCCACCACGCATGCCCCCTCCCATCATACCTCCACGGTTGTTGAAGCCAAAGTTACCACCGCCACCGCCACCCATGGGTCCATTGTAACCACCTCCCATGTTATTGTAGCCGCCCATATTATTGTTGTTGTTGAAGTTCCGGTTGTAACCACCTTGGTTCATGCCACCACGGTTGTAGCCTCCACCCCTTCCTCCTCGGAAACCACCACCAAAGTTACCGCCCATATGACCGCCGCCTCGGTCATTGTTGTATGAGCCGGATGGTGGACGGTTTTGATCCTTGCCCCTGGCAGGGGCATCTTTGGGTAGGGTCTTGAAGGGATTGTTAGTAGTGGCCCAGTAGGTCAAGGTGAGCTTCTTCTGGGCCCCTTGGCTTTCAGCTATGATCTGTTCGATACGACGCTTAATGGCTGTAGATGCTTGGGGAGAGTAGAACTCGATGTAAGCTTGGCTACGAGTCTGTCAGTCATCTAGATCCCGATGGAGCTAAGAAAATCGTACCCCTTGCTTTTGCCATTGACCTTGTGTTCGCTGAAGGTGATATCCTTAATCTCATCTTCGCAGTCGGCTTCTCGCGCCCAACCTCGAATATCATCATCTGTGTTCCACCAATTGAGTTCCGAGATCATGAGCGAAGTTGTCGCAGATTGGTCAACTGGTCGGCCATCATCTTCCTGTTTCCTCTTCGTCCCCTGTTGAGAGCCATGTGCTTGATGATGACTTGAAGTGTGGCCGTCTCCCGCATGGTGGTGGTGGTGGTGGTTGTCGGCGTGGTACTCCTCCATGTTCTGGTCACCGTGACTATCCCTTCGATCATCACCTTGGTGATGATGGTCCTGGTTATTGCCATCGCCTCGGTGATCATCTTGCTGATGGTCGTTGCTCTCATCGCCGTAGATATCGATTTCGAAGTCTTCTTCAGCCATTTTTACCGATTTAAAGCACTTGGCACAGGTTAATGCCGTGCAGAGATCTGGGGAGTAATGAGGATATGGTCAAATGTGATAATTAGGCTGCCTGCGAGATACAAGAGTTGGCCTCTGGTCTTTACACATAAGTTATCAGCCATTGAACGTTCCATCGCTAACAAACGCCGCCCGCAAGACTCAGAGGCCTTGTACACCCGAGAGAAATGAATTGGACTGGAAGCTTGCAATACGTACACTCCTCGTAACAAGATTGGGGCCCTATTATAGGTATAACCCCTGATAAGATGGTTCTTGACTCAAAGATGCGATACTCAGGACGAAGCTCTGTGCTTGCAATCCTCGTTGTCTAGCTCCCGATATTCCGAGCGAGCGCTCAGATACAGATGGGGAACAATGGAATAGAGGATGCCGTCAGCCCGATCAATGTCCTCCTTTCCCAAATCTCGATATCGAAACAAATCGCGATCGGACTCGTTTCGCAAAGAATCGCCTAGCTAAAGGGATCTACGTGTGTTAGGGATCCCAGCGCTCGTGCTCCAATGTCGATTTTGGTCGTTGATCGAAATCAGGCTGTGGCGCGCCCCAGGCTTGATCGCAAAGAAGGCAGGTCAGCAGGCAATTTGTCGTGATTAGAGCGTCAGAAACACTGTTTAACTTGGACCAAGAATTGTCGTGAGAGTGAAAGACGATGAAAGATGAAGGAAAAGAGGTTAGCGGATGACGGAAGGAAGAAGAGAGCTTCACGCTTTCTTTTCTGGGGAAGAGCTTCGCAAGCAAACGGAAAGCACTGCAACTCGTGGAAGCTGGCGTCTACCCGCTAGCGCCTGCGCGTTTGGGGCCCGGGGAAATAAGCTGGGAAAGAGAGCAGGCACAGGCACAGGCACAGCGCCCTTCCTTCCCCACAGGCCACCTGGCTCCACTGAAATGTAACTGTCGAGGGCCCCGGGTCATCTCTCGGCCCGAGCCCAAGTCAATCTGGCCTTGCCCCGAATCGGAAATTAGATAAGGTAATTGTTAACACGTCGTCGCATGAGAGGAGAGGCCAGAGAACAGAGCTGTGCTGTGCTGTCCATTAGGTTAGCTAGGATCACCAACAAAAAGAAGTCCCCTTTAAACTTCAACTCTCCTTTCTTCAACCCCTCGCGACTCCGACTCCATTCGACGACTCTACCTTTTCTTCTACTCAACGAAGCTACATCTCTTCTTTCGCGGCATCTAATTTTAATAACTCCCCTTTCTTTTCCACATACACACACAATATGTCCGACCAGGTTCAAGAGATCCTCGAGGTTCCCTCCGAGTTCGTCAGGGACGGAGTTCAATTCGTGCGACGATGCACCAAGCGTATGCCGACTCATTGCGCCTTCACATCTTTTACCTCGACTAACATACCGCTCTGCAGCTGACCAGAAGGAGTTCCTGCGACTCTGCCAGGCTGTTGGCGTTGGTTTCCTCATCATGGGCGCTGTTGGCTACGTTGTCAAGCTGGGTATGATATCCAATCTCCTTCAGGTGTAATGTTCTCTAACAAGTCATCAGTGCACATTCCCCTCAACCACGCCCTCGTCGGTAGCGCATAAACGATCACACGATCAGGCGATGAAGAGATCATGGATAGTGGCGACTTGACAATCTAAAAACCCGCACAGCGGGGGTGGATGCGAGGGCGATCACAACAATTTTCTTGCTGAGAGTACGTTCACTGGGGCGGAGTTAAATGAAATTATGGCGGGCACGCGACACACTTCTTACGCTGGAATTTGATCGAGCGCCGTGAGGATGAGAAGGATGTGCTTTCACGTCTCAGGCGCGGTTCACATGGGGTTGAGAGATATCCTTTACAAGACTGCTGGCTAAACTGACCAACTGTACAAAATATATCCAACGCTGTTTCTTGCAAACTTAACCCAAAAGCAACCCATTTGTATATGTTGAGTTCTGGTATAGCTCAGGCTGTTCCTTGAGCAAGTTGTTGACACTCTGACCCATCGGTGGTTCTCCTTCATCATCCACGTTGTCGTTATACGAATGTAGCGTGCATGTTCCTCTTGCCATGTTATACCCATTCCAAGCAGACGCTGCTGATGTTAGCTGCTTTTTTTCAAGTGAAAATGGGAGAACATACCAACAAGGAGAGGGGCAGTGGGATGCCAGCTTGCATCGCGGACACAAGTGCGCCAATTGCTTGGTTCATCGGAATGATAGGCGCGGCGTCGATTATCCATTGGCCGAGTGCGCATGGTAGCTTTCTTAACATCTATGATTCCAGCCAAGCTCGCATCCATATTCCAAATGTATACCTTGCCATCAGTACTGCCCGAGTATACATATCGTGAATTAGTGGACATTGGAGGTGAGAAGTGACATCGGATAAGAGTTCGAAGGACTTTGTGGCCTCGGAAGGTCACGAGCGAATTATCATGGGGGTGCACATCCCAGTCCTCGTCGTCATATATGCCACCCCGGTAATCGAAGCCACTGGTGTTTGCATGTGCTGACGGATCAAGTTCGTTGAATCGATCGGTTGACATGGCCATTCGTATATCCCATAGTTTCATCGATTGGTCTTTTCCATTACTGAGGATATACCGTCCATCTCCCTTGCTGTCGATGTATGTCAAGCCTTCGATGTGGCCGACAAAGGCGCCAGCTTCTCGGTGATCGCCCATGCTTCTTCGATCCCAGACCTTGATCGTTGTATCATCGGACCCCGAGTAAAGTATGTGCGGTGACATCTTGTCAGCAAAGCACACGGCGTTGACATCATCCGAGTGGCCGCGAACGTGGTGAAGAACTGTCCGAGACTCGATATCATATACCACGATTGAGGCCGCGCTCGTTCCAGCCACCAGCTCTCTCCCATCGCCTGAGAACCTAACAGACCAGATACCGAAGCCGCGTCGATGGTATCCTTGCAATGGGCTGTTGTCTAAATCCAGTGTATAGGGATCTCCGGTATCATTTGGATCTGTAGGAGCTATGGAGACCATACTTTGGATTGAAGTATACGCGAGCCATTTGTTGTCGGGACTTAATGATGCATCTGTGAGTGTCCATTGTCCCCATGGGTAGCTGACTGTCTTGTAATGCTTCCAATTGTATGGGCTGGAGGTGTCGTACATTCGTACTTTGAAGTCTTGAGAGCAGGCGAAAAAGAAGTTTCCATCGTCCGAAAACTGTCCAGAATACACGGGGTCATCGAAATGGATGATCTTCTCGGCTCTTGATTTTGGTAGTAGACTCTGGACGCTGTCAGTCAAATTGTCTTGATAGAAAGGTCTGGGCTCATGCCTGGTTGATAAGAGCATTATTTCGTATCCGATCTTCGCGATTCCCCAGGGCCAACTCCCGCTCGAGCATCCTCACAGCAAGTGATCTCTTTGCTCTGGGGTTGTAGTCATTTGCACCAAAAGCTCCTGATCGCATAAGCTTCAAGCCCTGCTCACTTGGCACTTTCGGGAAGCGATCCGGGTCCTTGGGTGTTAGACTTCGATTGAATGGCCAGTTGTTCAAGAACTCGGCGTCGTCTCTAGGATTATCTTGGAATAAAACACTGGTGAGATCGGGGCTCTGCATCAAGGCAATGAGTTGTCTCCGTGTTAGGAGTCCTGTTCTAGCACCGGCTAATTTCATCCCCAATGTCAGGCATGTCTTTAATCATCGCTGAAAAGGCGAGACTTACTTCGTACAATGTTAAAGAGTCGTTGCTCGTCAGTAACTCCTTGAACCTCGTCCTCGTCTTCCTCATCCTCGTCGTCATCCCCTCCATTCTCCATCAATATTTCAATATCTCGATCATTAACACCTATATGATGCGATTGGTAAAACATGGTATTACTCAAGCAACGGGTTGAACTTACCTCGAAAATCGTCTTCATCTTCTTCATCAGGTTCATCCTCGTAGTCTGGGTCTTCCTCATCCTCGTCTTCCTCTTCCTCCATTCGATAGTACCAAGTCGTTGCCTCCGATGATTCACGTGTACTGTCGTTACGGTTCTCTTCGTCACTTGCATCTGCTGAGAGCGGTTGCGAACTCCTCTCACCCTCAAGAGGCGCCATATTTCAAGTGGTGAGATCTGGCAAATCGAGTGAAGGTCGAGATGAAAGCAGATAAAGAATGCTTGCTAAGCACGAGAGCTAGGAGGGGCGATACGGTGAAGATTGAAGTGATGTGGTCGGAAAGATATAAAGTAACTATACTACAGGGTATATGGGAGCTTCAGGCATTATAATTCTTCACAGGGGTCACAGCGGGTTAATAAACATCAATGATGCGATGAGTGTGATGCTGCATCTGTTGGGTGAAGTCAACTTATGGGGAGCTCCCGGAGCTTCCATTGTGACGACATTAACCGGAGATAAGATAAGCCCCGCGATTAGCTACCCTGGACTCAAAAACCTGGCGAATTGGAGTTTAAAATAACCGCGTGTCTTGATATCAACTGCATATTTGGACACATCAGCAAAAGATACACAGGTTACACATGGTGTTCTTAGAATAGCGCCTATTCAATAACAATGGGAGGTCAGAACTGCAACAATCCTCGTTTGGAAGTGTCACGAAACAATCTGACGACGCTTACTTAACATGTGTACATTATCATCGTGCTACGGAGAAGTGTGACCAACATGTTGAATGGTACAAAAAAAAAAAAAAAGATCTTCCTAATTCACTGGAGTATCTGACACAGGACTCTTGCGCTAGCTGAGCCGGAATAATTCGCTCAGCTCATTCATGCATTACATCGGATGAACACTGGCCATTCCAAGACACAACTCGCCCATCCTTTCCATGCCCAGCTTCTTGCAAAAGTCCAAAAATGATCGCAGTTGTTCAGGGCGTCCCAAAGGCCGAACAGGGAATGAGTCGAGGTGTACATTGATAAGTCACAACTGAGATATCTCGTTTATTGGTGACGAGGGCACAGAGACATCACAACAAGGAGCGTCCCTCCCAAAGCAACTATGATACCTGACTCTCCAGACTTCCAACCTTA